ATATATTCGTTACACTTTGGCGGACGCGACTCCAAGGCCTGATTTTGGAAAAAGTATATGTAAACAAATTTCTTCTATAAGAAAAAAAAAGAACGTACTTTTATTATTTATAAATTTTTAAGGCCGAAATTGCAAAATCAGGCCTTGGAGTCGCGTCCGCCAAAGTGTAACGAATATATTAAAACCAGAATTATTAGAAAATATTGCTTCTTTGCTTCAATATCTTGGAAAAACTTTGTTGCAGTGAAATTTTGATGATTTGTATGGCAATATGGCGCTTCGCTATCGCGCTTCCCGTTGCGGCGCTGTCACCGTCTTGTTTGGTGTTATTATATCGTTAGTCTATACACGGTGTTTTACATGGTTTAGATCAGGGATGGCCAACTGTTTTTGCCCCCGCGCCGGTTGAAAAAAAATTATTTTCACGTGCCGAACGAAATATTAAAATTGAAAAATGTTAAGCAAAACACTTATTTCTTTAAGTAAACAAAATTTTATTATTAAAGTTGTTTATGAATAATTGTAATTAAATTGGTTAGTATAACAACTTTAAATAGGTACAAACTAAATAACTACAAACTCCGAAATTTGAAAATCTTCGGTGATAGCTCTGCTCTATTGCATAAAAATTGGCAGATTTTAAATTATTTAATAACTGATTCACGCGACAATTCAAGCGGTAACCAATAGATGCAATGCATGCATTGCAGCAAAAGGTAATCATTTTGAAAAGTGTTTGCAATAAATAAGTGTTAACAACATATGTAAATGTAAATAAATGAGAGGAAAAACGGAAACTCTTTTGTTTCTTTTTTCGCGATTTTCTCGAAAACTGAGCATAAACGAGCAAATCACCTAACGTTTTTTTTCTTAGTTTTTCGGTGCCCAATACGCCCCCGCAGTTTAGACATTTAAATTAGGGACACCCTGTATATACAGTGGGTGTAGAATGTATTCGTATACCGACCAATTTCCCAAAAAACTTTTGTGTGAAATTGTAGTTTCTTAACTTCCTTTTTTGTAATCAATGATATATGCTCGGAAGTCTCTAACAAGAGAAGGTCCGGAATAAGCGATCCGAATGAGCGCTTTTTGAACGAGACCGGGCTCTAATGATGGGGCCTGATGAGCATAAAAAAGCGCAAAACATTAGGGGTATCTGGCCAGCCGTTTTTATAAAAAATGGCTTTAAACATTTACGGACCACTAGAATCTAGATATATGAAAATATTGAAGTTCTTAACGGAAGCTGTTGTAGCTGCGGGTGTTACGCCGCTGGTTAATGTTCAAAGTTCATGGGTTTGAGACTCAGTAATGGACATTTTTTTTTTCAACTGCATTTCTATTTCCTATTTCTCTTTTTACTCACTGCTATATAAATAATATATAAGAATTATAAAGTATAGGTTGTGGACTACAATTTTTAATAATACGTTTTTTATTAATAATAATATTAATATTAATATTGATAATAATTTATTAATAGTAAATACGCCACATCCTATATATTTGCATGTTTACTTCTACTATTGCTATATTATGTATTGCATGTACTCATTATAATATTATGTTCACATCAAGATTATTTACAATTCTCTGGTAGCGAAGGCTACGCGCTAGGCGGCAGCGTCAATGTCCTTCGATGCACGTCGAGTCACTTGTGAGCGTACCAGCGCGGCCGCCAGCGCGTAGCTTTCACTACCGCGGCCGCTCGAACGGTCTACGCGCGCTCTGATTGGTCGGGGTTTTCTCTTAATATCTCATTAACGAAGCCCCATCCGACATTTTTGCAAAAGAAATTGTTGTTCAGAATCGTCTCAGCTACCCCCATTTCCGGCTTCTCCCCGACTTTTGGGACACCCTGTATACTGTTGCGGAACGCGTCGTGCGATGATAGGGAATTTTCTGACGTGGGTAAGGTGCCCGTGGAGCGCTGAACCGCTCTGCCCGGAGAGGCGCGTGAAATAAAATTCGTAATACTTTTAAGAAAAAGCAAAGACGTTTATTCGATCGACTCGTTTGGTTTAAAAATCGTTTCGTAGTTCGTTCCCAGAGGTTCGATTACGATTGATCTCTCTGGAATAATCTTCGCTCGATCTGCTGCTTCTCTCCCTTCTCCGGAAGATTCCCGATCCTCCCTTCGGGTTGTCTTGGTCCGATTGGTGGTTGCGCCCTACTCTTTCTATCGGTGATCTTCATCGATCTCGGATCCACCCCTGAGTCGGGTGGAGGTGGGAGTCGCGCGGCCATGTTTGTGCAGGGCTACATATGAAAAAGGAAAGCGCGGAGGTCTAGAGAGAAAGAAAACGCGCCAGCGAGACACAGCAACCCTTAAGGAAATTTATTACCCTCTTGAAGAAGTCGTCGGAATCGCGAACCGAGGTACAGCGCGAGTTTGTTATTTTCAAAGATCCTATGAGCTGGAACAAAAGCTAACTCGACTCGAATTCTAAAGAAATGCATTCCAACGGAAACGGCGATTCGACGTGGCCTATAATGAATCTATTAAGTATTTTCAGCGAACGTTCCCTTTTCTCTCCTGACTTTCGACTTTCCCACGCTTGATCATCCATGTCGAATGTTTTAACAATGTACGTGGCGGTTCGTTGATTCAATGCGTTAATCCATTTGAATTCCGCTCCAAATTTGAATATAAATATATACTACATGCGGTAGTGTTTAAGCTATTCCGCGTTGTGGCGCTACATGCCATGAAGCTGTAGGGACCTACATATAGTCATAGGTTCAAGCAGCGTTACCAACCTAAGCTAGAGAATTTAGCATTAAGAGGTTTTCGTCGTTTTTGAATAAGAGACGCAGCAAAGAGAGCGTTTAGAGAAGTTCGTTAGTGTGGTTAGCGTCGCGACACGTGCTCGTCTGATTAAGAGAAAATAAAGAAAAGGAAATCCAAAAAGCTGTGTTCTATATACGAGTACGAGATTACCTTCCCCCGGCAAAAGTAATGGTTCCATAAAAGTTTAGACGTAGAAATACGCTACAAAGCTAAGTTCACGTGATAGCGTAACAATACTTTATTTTATTCTACATATTGCGGAGTGATAGACTGCGTTATACTTGTTAATTTTTTTACTTATTAAAAAAATAACCTTATAATATGGTATGGTACATTCAATTACAGTTCCTGATCAAACATTTTTCTCCATTTCTAATCTAGTGATTTCGTATTTTCACTTTGATGTTACAGAATCGACCCGCTGGTACTCGTACCGCATGTGATCGAATTATGAAAAATACGTGTGACTTAGCCATAAATCAAATCACTTGAAATAAAAATAAGAAACTATAATATAATTTTATTATAACTATTCAAATATAATTTTTATTAACAAAGACGTAGAGTTTTGCTCCTACAAACGCGGACTATTGCAGGAAACGTCTGATCTGGAGAACGGTCTCTATGTGAATAATAAAAGTGTTTCAATAAAATGCAATCACCAAGAAAAACAAAACACGTAAAAGACATGAAAATCGTAATCAGCGCCAACCACGTTCAAACAGAATTGCCAACCTCACAGAGTCATACACACATACACAACAACACAAACGAATCTCCGCTCTGCCATCTAGGGATAATGTGGAAATTAATTTGTCCCTACATAGATCGTGGAACGCAACATTACATTAATTTAACAAAAACGATGCTTATCTTCAGTATTTAAAGAGACTAATGATAAGGCACTTTTGCAGACGTGGACTTGTGCGCGTTTGTATTTAGTGTATATATATAGGAAGTGCTGTAGAGCGCGTATATGAATGAGTGTATTATATAGAGTACTGTCGCGTTGACAGTTTAATTAATTAAATTAACTGAAGACGTTAGTTTTCTTTAGTGTTTATGCTAGCTACTGATCATTTAACGTATACCAAAGTAATTTATTTTCTACTGAAATGTACGTTTCATGATAATCCGAGAAATATTAATTTAATATTGGTTCAACGTGTCGACACATTCTTACTTTAAGGTTAAAAGGTAATGTAATCATGTTTTATTATACTATACTATGTCAAGTTGTGTTACAGTTAATAGTCGTAAACAAATATGTATCGAATTTAATTTTGAAAATATATTTCATCAAAACATATTTTATATATGTATATTTTTTAAAAAAATATTTAGGTATTAAATACATGTTCAGAATGGTGTAATACAAATTTCACATGCAGTTTGTAGTAATTACTATAAAATTAGTGACGATTAGTACAAACATTAAATATGAATATTATTGAAATAAAGTCCATCTTTATATTTAATTAGAATTTGTATTATATAATGATCAAATGAATGTTTTATGAAGTTTCATTAATCATTAGAAGCCAGTTAATACATAATGAGGTTTGAAATTGTAGAATATAAACAGAATATATCAGATTTTAAATACTTTGCAATAATAATTGTTTACACAGCAAATTTGTAAATTTAGTATAAAACGTACAAACTTGTATTGAAATTATTTTGTATGTCCTTATACAGGGTGTGGCAGGACAGATGGTACAACCAAGCAGAGGGTGATACTACATGTAAAAATAAATCGAAAAAAGGAATAATATTTTTTCATTCAACGCTTTGTTTTCATGAAAATCGAATTTGAAAATTCTATCCAGTACGTGTGCACTGGACTGTGTCCCCAAGTCATTGCCCGCTACAAGTTTCCTTTTGCTTACATATTGTAATGTTGACTTTTCTAATGCTTAAATTTCGTCTTCAGCCATACGATTTTCTTCTACTTTTAGTCTTTTTTGATCAGTCAAGCTGTGACAATGTCTACTTATAGCAACTACGAGTACGTCAAAATGATAAAAGCATTAGAAGCTTGTCATGGAAATGCAACAGCAGCAGTTTAACATTACAGGCAACAATTTCTAAAATGCAGAAATAAGTGAAAATTCTCTCAAGCTGAAGGAAAAAATAATAAATGCTTTTATTCAAATAAAGTGTCGATATTCATTGGCGTCAGTTCATGACTCACTAACAAGGCAAGCAATGATATGTATACATCAACAAGGACAGCACTTTGAACAGTTTATTCAATAATGTTACACAATTAATGTTAGAAGTATCAATAAAATTAATAAAAATTAATAAAATTAATATTTCTTATTTATAATACATATCTAAACTTAGAAGCGGTATAGTGAACATGTACTGGATGGAATTTTCAAACTTGATTTTCCTCAAAAAGAAAGCGTCAAACGAAAAAATGTTATTCTATTTTTTTGACTTATTTTTACATGTAGTATTACCCTCTACTCTGTTGTACTAACCAGCCTGCCAAACCCTGTATATCTATTTGTATTTATTAAGAATTAAAATTTTTTGATACCACTTAATGAAAGTGACTTGCATCTATATAATTCAAAGGTTTACTCAAATAGGAGTATCAAAAGTGTGGCTAAATCAAATTTTATTTGTGATGGGTTCTTTGATTGCTTACGGAAAAAATATTATGTGTTAAGTTTCCAGTCTGTGTCACAATTTCATGGGTACCAAAAGGTAGAATTGAAAATTATGTTTCTGATTGATTTCTTTTACAGTATTACATGAAATTCTTTTAAAAAATCACAGACATGTGGGATAAAGAAGTACACATTACATAGTTTTTCACATTCTTTATTGAAAATCCATGTTGTGAAAAATAAAAAAGACCAAAAAAAAGTGAATAATGCTAGTGTTGTAAAGAAACTGTTAAGATACTATAATTGTATCATTACAGTAAGTACATATTACTGTTATTATTATTTTCAATTCTGTTTGTTTTTTAGTATTTGTGCACCATATTTAACCCTTTGCAGTCAGAATTTTCTGATTTCAGTACATGTTTGTCGAGCCTCATTCGACATAGGACTGCAAAGGGATAATGAAATTAAAATGTAATATTTTCATTGTTTCTTATCAGAGTAATTTATATGTTGTACTTTTGTACATTCTTTCTATAATTATTCTTTTATGCGATACTTAATGACTAGACTGCAGAAGTTTATGCACGATAAATATGTAACATACACATGGCATTTATACATGAAAAATATACAAAGTATATAGGTATATATAAAGTGTAATATAATAATCAATATATTAGTATGTTACAGAATATTCACTATATACACATGTAAAATACTTCTCACAATTATTCTGATACATTATAGTTCGCGTGCCAATTAATTATGAGCATTTTTCCAAATTTAATGTTGCTAATTGGTGGCGTTTGTCTGTCAAAATTATTTTATTTGCAGAGAATGACCGCTCTACGCCATACAAAGTAATCGGTGCGTATTTAAATTTACTCCAACATTGATCTGGCACACTTATTGGTCCTTGACGCACTCGTTATTTAAAATACTTGAAATCGTCGATGATGTAGAAAATGCTATATTCTTTTCTAAAGTAATATTACATTTTTTTCTAATTTTTTCACTGCAATCACCAGGAATATTTTTTAAATGTATTATACTATTCATATATATTCCGAATTAATTTTGCGATAAATACTTCTGTCATCGTTATCATTATTATCGTTGTCATTAATAACACAATTGGAATCGATTATGATCTAACTTAGTATTAATGGTTTTCTATTTTTTCTAACTTTTGCCAGTTTTTATAACATTACAAGACACTTAAATGTTTTCACTTTTACATAGAGATCACATTAACTGCGAAGTATTCGAATTGAACTAATTGAGATTATGCCATAAAAGTTACATTCTAATGTATCTACAATAGCTATTGTTCTCAATAGCATCTATAGCAAAGCATCAAAGTATCAGACTACTGAACTGTGCAACATTTTTAAACTTAAGTGTGGGTCACACTTACACTAATTTTTTTTTAATTTCTTATGTATTTGTTTTAATACTTGGCACATAACAATAATCAATATAGTTTTATGAATATTTGAAGGATATTTAAAAAATATTTCGATCTAGCTAACGTATACATCAAAATAAGTTTAGCGCATTGTGTTATGTTATTACTTTTTGTATTAGGTATTCTATCAGCTACTGTATTGTTTAACAGTTGCCATATTAAATTAATATAAGTTGTTTTGCAAATTTCTTACCTTTAACAAATATGGATGGATTGTAGTATAGAATTATATAACATCCTTAATCTTTATTATTGTTTTCTTTGATGATTGGTGTCTCTTGTTCAAGATTACATATTCCATTAAGTATATCTACAGGTGTTACAGTCTTTTAAAGGTACCAAGCATGCGATAAATAATAAATTATTGCTGCTAATGCGAACTGCATCTAACAATATGCATTCACATATTTACAACAATAGGATTTAATTTTGGAATAGCCTACTGAATGGCATGTAGACAGTGTAACATCTACAAGTTTTATTATAGATATAGTGTGACCTAACTTCGAATTTAATAAAATTAATGGTCTCTTTAAAGCAACAATGATATTACTTGAGATAATTCAAAGAACCCATAAATAAAATTTTGAAATTCTTTCCTGCTATTTTTGGAAAAGTAAAATGTTCAAAGACTAATTATTTGAATGAAATATTTCATAAATTTTAATGTTGATTTTCAACTTAACTGATAACGAATTTTTAGTTATTTTTGAGATAATATTTTTTCTAGTATTTCATTTTAACGTCCTATAACCAAATTTAAACGTTTGTTCAATTATTAGAAAGCACAGTCGAATATAAACTGATTTTTGGGAGTAACTCATAGTTTTCTTGATGGTGAAGTGACAATAAACTTAATTATTTAATTCTACAGCAGTTAATTAATTATGGTTGTCTTTTAATGCAAGTATAAGTACTCTGTAGTAGAGATCTTCCAAATAACATTTTACATCCTGAAGCTTTGATCAGTATTTCAACCATAAAAAAATAATAGGGACAGTGTTAAATAATAACATAAATAATAGAATACCTGACAAGGATAATGATAGCATAAAAAGAGCTCCAAATTTATTTTGACTTATATTTTAGGTTGAAACATCTTTAAAATTAATGTATTGAGTATCGTCATGTAGTTATGAATTGAATAAAAAAATATAAATAGTTTTTGAAAAACGACTTCTCGATTTTGTTTTTTAATAACAAAATTCACTTGTCAGTAGTTGTGGCGTCCACTTAAACGACATCATCCTTTACGTTTAATTGTAATCATGTATAATTTCATTTTATTTCAATAAATTGGATATTTTTAGTTGAAAAGTTTTAAAAATATTCTTACATCTGTAAATGTACATTGATCATTGCTATGTAGTTTGGGATTGAAATAAAGTGTAAAAATAATTTGAAGCAATAAATGAACCTAAGTGGAACTCGAACCTAACTTGAAAGTTTGCAGGTTTAGCTGTGAAGTATTTCGTGTTGGCTCTGCTGTTGAGTGTATGAGTATTCATTAAAATGTAACTCGCACAGCATGATTTTAATTGGTTGGGTTTATTTAGTCTTTTTCATTCTTGTACTGTTTCACTAAATGTAGTCATTGTGTATCACAGAAAGGACTAATTATACAAAGAATGTACAAAAGTGCAATGTGTAAGTACTCTGACAAGCGTTAACAAAACTATCAAATATTAATTACTTCATATATGCCACAATAATACCAGTAATCTATAACAAATTTAGGATAATAGTAACACGATTATGTACTTACTGTAAAGATATAATTATAGTGTTCTAACGGTTTCAATAAAAAATCGGTATTTTTTTGTATTGTCTGTTTTTTAAAACATAGAGTTTTAATTAAAGAATTTAAGAAAACTCTGACCTATGTGAATTTACTTTAGGGGCACGACCCTTTTATTTGAATATACACTTTATACAGCTTTTAAATAATTTTCAAGATTTAAAATTCATTAATATATCATATTTCTTAATACTAAATAGAACAATTTTGAAGTAATTTATTGAAAATGGATATAAATATTATACATAAATTGTTCAAAGACTATATTAATATTGTATATACTATTATTATTTCAGTTACACATTTATGTAAGCTATAACGCGCTTGTCAATGATGTTGAATAAGACTTATGCTATCTTGTATCTTGTAATTTATATTTTTATTTTCAATTATGTTGCATTTAGTGATACAGTTTTCAAAATATAACACGTGCAACTATAGAATCAAATAGTTTATATATGTGTATGTGCAAATTATTTACAAATTTTTGTTATTAAATATACAAATAAGGTAAATAATATCGTTGTTATATGAAATGGTTGTATTATATAAGGTTTTTTTTAATATGTGGGCTCTTTTTGGAAGCTGAGGTCCTGACATCAGTACGAATCGAGAAGTCCGTTCCCAATTTCCGAACTAGGGCTTCGTTATTGAGATATAAGCAGTTGAAATTTGCTATTTCCACCGATGCACACTACTGCTTAAAAATGACCTAGGACTTTCTAGGCCAAGTAGTACGAGGCCATTGACACAATCTGTAAAAACTAAATGACAATGACCTCGCCCTGTCTGGTCCAAACTGTTTTGCGGACTCCTAGATCATTTTCCAAGAGTGAGTGCATTTGTGAGTGTTTCTCCTTTATAGGTGTGTACAGTTGCGGTCGCGCGAATAGCTAAAGCCCTGGTTTTTCTGAACGAGATCGCCACGGAACATTCCGTTCGTTTACGTCGGACGAAATGGTCGACGGAACGAGTGATTTGAGTCGATGAGGCCGGTTTCTCTGAAAAAAAACCGTCACGAAATGACGACGGAAACCGAAAATAAGGATTGTGGACGGATTCACGAATATCCAATTCATAGTAATCTTTGTGTAAAATCCGGGACGATATTCCGTGGACCCCATTCCGTCCAAACCAAATTATTTTGGTTTCGACGGAACGAAGCGGACGGATTTGCGTGAGTGCGAGTGAATAGACACGAGGAATTCTGTCTTCGTTTAGGGTCGAAGGGATCAGGGGCAATACCGATACTTGACCTAACCTTTTTTTTTGCCTACGACTCTACCCCAAGGGGTATGTCCCAAACCATTCCTCTATTGACGATGTTATGTTGTATATCAATCTCAAAAATGAAAACTCGTATACGTGGGGGTTCGATTCTAACCCTTTCAGGTTAATGCATTATCTGTAGCCAAGGGGCAGTTTTCAATTGGACGCAATAATGAGTCTTCCGACGCGAAGGTGTTAATAATGAAATATAACTATTATATAATATATATTACTATAAAGAAATATAATTATAATTATTATGTAACCATCGGCAGCATTTGTTTCCCCAACCTTGGCAGCGCAAAAGGTAATGATTGGCAACATGTTCACAGACGATGAATGTACAATTGACGATGTTCGAAGTCAAATTCAAAAGAAACTTAACAAGTTTTTTCGTGGATACCCGAAATCGCGATAATAGCGAAGTCTATATGTAATTTTATGTACATATGTACCTATAATGAGACTTCTCTTACAAAATACAACACAGAGCTGATAACTACTAATAATACTAAGTATAATAAAATATGTTTAACACCTTCGCGTCTGGATATACTTGAACAATTTGATTTGCTACACATAATTTTATGAAATTTCTGTAATTTCTTATTTGACATAAGAATGCGTCATCCGTAATCAGCAGAAGTTTTCGATTTAACGCAAAAATAGGTCATCTGTAGC